TATATATATATATATATATATATATATATATATATATATATATATATATATGTGCGAGTTCGAAAAGACATCCATATGTATCTCTCGTTTATTTAAGTATGTACATCGTTCCATAAATGTTTGAAAATTTTATTATTTTCTTTGTATTTCCGAAAAGAAAAATATACATGGAAAAGCAAGCACTCTACAACAAAATTTACCTGTGTTATATACATATAAATAGGAAGTTATAATCGATTGCGGTTTTGCTTTCAATAAGCATTCCCACCGAAAAAATCGGTTAAACATTATTACATAAACAAATTAGATCACAATAAAAACAAAAGTTAATTAGAAAATCAATTTGCATTTGACAGTGTATCTCTATTTGGAATACTTTAAATCGATCGATTTTTTTGTTATGCATGTGAAAATATATATATTACTGGCAATGTTACGCGCTCTCTCTCTCCATCTCTGTCTATCTTTTTCACGTACTTTTCCTTTTTTAGGCGTTTTAAACTTAATATTATGTGTACTGCATGTCTGATATATTTAATGGAACTTTTAATACTATAGACTAAACGATTTCATTGGTTTACTATATGAATGTCTGTACAAGAATGATTAGTATACGTACATAAACACACACACACAAACAGCAAGATACCCTATATTTACGAAGTCTTCTCAGCCAATTCGAAGAATATAATCGAAAACAGATTTATTGCGTGGAATTGACAAAGATAAAATATCAGCTGTATCATAGTATTTATAGATTATAAGCCCTATTTCTATATGAGCATTGGCGATCGCTGTTGAAAGTGATATAATGCTTCCAAAACATTGGAGATCGGCTCAGATAAGTGCGCTTAGATTCGATACTATATGATATTCGATATGGGTATCTTTTGGTCGGCCGCAAACTATAATTGTGTTACCTTAACTATGAAACACTACATGGGTTCAGTTACTTATACATATATGTAGCTCAAATAAACGCCAACAGTTATAAAAGGTATGTAAAAAATTAGCTAGGCGTAACCCAATAAAAGTCGATGGCTAGACAGTTGCTCCGGTTCCTACGGTTTCCTGTCCGTCTTTTAAATGCATACCTTATTTTGTTGAAAATTTAATTTCTAGTAGATTAAATCAGTTGGTTGTGGTGTTTAATTCCATCTACGAATATCATTATATATATTGGGTTAATAATTATCAGTTTAATTTTCCCTACATGATCGAAACTTTGCCAATGTATATATGTTCTGTGGGCACAAAATAAATGTATGTTTGTATGTATGTGCAAAGTAAAAATTAAATTAAAAAATTGAATATAAAAAAAATAATTTGATTGGGTTTTCCGGATACATGTGCACACTGCTTGCGTTTGATTTGCTATGTAGGTGTTATGCGCTATTGGATCAGATATGTATGTGCACATATCTAAAACTGTGATTTCAATCAAAATAGGAAAAACCCAAAATGAGAAAAAAATAATGCTTTCTGTCATAAGTATAGACAAAGAGATAGGAAAATGAACTATAATTACATATTTCAAAGTAACTAGCTAATTTTTGTTTGTATGAGTTCCATCACTAACCGAATAAGAAGACCACATTTGTGAACATTTGCCTATGTATGTACGTGCGCTCACCAGTAATGAGATAACAATAAATACATAATAAATATGCTTTTGCAGCCAGCTTAAATGCTCATCAATTACAACACACGCTCAGGAGCGTATATATACATACATATAGATATATGCCTGTGTGTGTATGTGTATGCATGTGTCAACTACATGCTCAGCAGCTTTATTTACATTCTTATATGTGAATATATAATGCTCATGACTAATAGGAACAGCAATGCCCATATTAATATTATACAATTAATTACATATATGTGTGTTTGTATGTACATATATACATGTCCAACGTAACAATATGTTTAAAAGGCATATAAATATACATGTATACTTACGAATATTAAACAATAGCTGTTCACAAAAAATGAAAAAAGCAAGGGATAAAACTATATAACCATTAATATGAAAAACCAGAAAAATTATTTAATTTATAGTATAAATGTGTTATCTGTGTAATTTGATTAAGTGCGTACAACTATTTACAAGCATTACATAAATATTTAAATTTTAAAAGTTTTAATGAACAGAAACTATATATGTATAATATTCAAATACATACATATATGTATATTCAGAGTCCAATGCACTTAGGGGAAATCAGTTATTTATTTAAGAAACAAGAGACAATTTATCACATACATAACTTATAATTCTTATTTGACGTAAGTCATAAATAAAAAATATATATATTAAATCAAGTACAAATGATTATTAAAATACTTACTAGTGTACAGCATATTTTATTTTAAGCAGCACAGATTCAAATCAAAAGGAAATAAGAATCGAGGCCTAGCGTTTTCGATGAATAATAATATACATGCATACATACATGTGATGATGTAATAGGTTTTCAGAGACATATGGAATATGTAAGTATTTAACAGACAGAAGGAGGCATGGCAGACCCCTTAAAGTGTATATATTCTTGATCAGGATGACGAGTCGATTTAGCCCTGACCGTCTGTCTGTCCGCAGACAGAACGCGTGGATCTCAGGAGATGTAACAGCTAGAGACTTGGATTTTTATACCCTGAACCCATTGAAAATGGGAAATCAGGGTATAATGGTTTTGAGAAAAGTATGTAACAGGCAGAAGTAATCATCGCAGACCCCTTAAGGTGTATATATTCTCGATCAGGACGATATAGCCCTGTCCGCCCGTCCCTCTGTCTGCCCGTACGAACGCCGGGATCTCAGAAGATATACGCAGTGCGAGTTTGCTTTATTTTTTCGATAAGTCATCCGAAAATTTTTTATCGAGAATAATTTTTTTTAGCCTCATTGGAAGACTATTAGACGTGGAGACTTCAGATTTACTGTGTATATACATATGATAAATACAAACATTTTGTAACCAACAGATTTTGGATACCACGCTGCCTTCTCTTCAAATTTGTAAAAAACGTTTTTCATGTACTAGAGACTTGCTTTGGAATGTACACACATTTTGACCATATAATTAGACTCTGAAAATTTCATTAAGATTGTATTGAATAAATTCTCATATTATTGCCCACACTGCAGCGCATCCCAAATGCAGTCGCGGCTTACTGCGCAGTTAGCAGAGCGCGGGCGCGTGAGGGTGGATGCATATGTACTATGTAAATATCAGCTTGGAAGGTTCAGGGTATCTCCTAGTCGAGCAGTCTCGACTAGAGC